GTGCAGTTTGTCTCACAGTGTGTTGCTGGCTAAAGGTCCAGCTGCTGTACATCACAGGGAGAGAAAAGAAAGAGAGCTAACTTCACTCAGAGATGGAGAAAGATAAGACACACAGGAGAGGAAGAAGAGAGGTTAGATTATAAAGGGAAGGACTGCTCAGTGGGATCTGATCAACTGGAGATTAAAGCTTACATGTAAGTCCTCATGTGTTGAAATCAGATATTGGGTCTGTACTAGAGACGGCACGATACCACTTTCTTATGTCCGACACCGATATCATAAATTTGGATATCTGCCGATACCGATATGAATCTGATATAGTGTGTTTTTAATCAATAAAATTTTTTTTAATATCTTGCTGCTTTTTGTATAAGTTCATACTCAAGTTAAAAAAACAACAACAAAAAAAACCACACTAAACCTATTCTGTTATACCTGTATGCAAAAAATACACTGCACCCAAAATATTTTATAGTTCAGCAATACTGATCAATCTAATAAAAGTAAACCTACTCCATCCTCCCTATTCTGGTATTTTAAAGAGTATGCAACCTAACTAATAGGGCTCCAAAACTCCCAGCAAAAAAAAACAACAACAACAACAAAAAAAAAAGGTAACCACCCACCCTCCACCTCATTGAAAAATGCACGGAAATCAATTATTTTTCAAGAACATTTAAATAGATTCAACATCTTTCTTCAACAGATTTGCAGACTGCACAGATGGTACCTTCCCAAAGGAAAAAGTAGTACAGCTTACTAGGGTATATTAGACTTAATAGTTACTATATACAGTAATAAACTTCTATACATTTTACATCAGATTAAAACTTTGGGTGTAAGCTTCGTATAATTATTTATTAAAAGATAGACATTTTAAATGAGAATAAGAAAGAAAAGTATGTCTTTGTGCCCCCCTTTTCCCTGTTCATGCCCTATCGGCCCCCCTGGCTAAACTTTGCTAGATCCGCCCCTGCACAGTTACCAGCCGTCAGCTACATAGAAAAAGATCCTGGTCTAGAAAGTAATATTAAATAAATTCTAACAACAGCTTATCAAGCTTAAACGTGCTGCAGTTGTTCAGCCGCTGGTTTCCTCTTTCTGGCGTGAAGAGAAACAAACAAGAGAGACGGACTCGCGACAGAAAAGCCGATCAGCTGATCATTACTCAGTTTCATGATTGAAGTAGCGGCAGGAGAGGGAGGGAGAGAGAGCAGAGGCAGTCGCGCCGTATATTGGTTGTTAAGCTTAACGCGGGAAAGCTTTACAAACATTCAGAGATGAACTTACACACTTGCTTTACTTCTCTCTGAGAAAACTTCCTCAGAGATGAAATGCCAGATTGGTAGCCAGGCTCCAAATGCTCAAACAGAGCGCAGACAGGTCCCGCACGCCACAGCCGCTCTATCACGTGATGCATACTGCTGCCACGTGCTACGGTTATGAGCTGAGTTACGCCATGTCGCAAGTTTTGTGAGGTGCTTTTTTGATATTTAATGGATCGGATTACATTTTTTATTTCTCTCCGATATCCGATCCAGTAATTTACGTCAGTATCAGACCGATACCGATACGTAATATCGGATCGGTCCATCTCTAGTCTGTACATATGACATTATGTCTTTTTTTCAGATTATGAAACTTGCTGCAAAACAATCTGAGGCAGATTAACTGTGCCTCAAATGCAGCCTTTTCCCTGCAGTAGAATTGCTAACATGCTAACACAGTTTAATGAGCAGAGTTGTTCCAAACAGTCAGGGTAAAATGACAAGATAACAATATAAATACATACCTCACAGTAACTGCGCTTGGAGAGTCTCTTTCTGGTGTGGATCTGTTGGTGTCGTCTCAGGTCATATGGAGATTTAAAAGCCTTCTCACACAGGTCACATTTATAAGGTCTCTCCTCAGTGTGGGTAAACATGTGGTATTGTAACATTTGGTTTGTTATAAACTGTTTGCCACACTGTTCACAGCAGTAAACATCATGTCCGGTGTGAATGCGTAGGTGTGTATTTCGGCTCTGTTTCAGGCTGAAAGTTTTTCCACAGATGTCACAGCTGTATGCCTTAATTCCAGAGTGGGTAACTAGATGATTCTGTAAGCTGCTACTGTGAGTAAAAGCTCTGCCACACTGATCACAGCTGTACGCTTTAACTCCACTGTGGATGAGTTGGTGTGATTTTAGAGTATCCTTTCTGGAAAAACTCTTTCCACACAAGTCACAGCTGAACGCTTTAACTCCAGTGTGGATGACCTGATGCTGCTTTAGTTTATCCTTCACAGTAAAATCCTTCCCACACTCGTCACAGCTGAACGGTCTCTCTCCAGTGTGGATGACCTTATGCTGTTTTAGATTAGCCTTCACAGTAAACTCCTTCCCACACTCATCACAGCTGTATGTTTT